CAACCAAATAAATAAACTCACACCAAAAGCCAAAGTTGATTTCTAAAATTATTGCAAATGATTGTGGTTGCCTGCAGCCCGTACCAACAGCCAGGGGCCGGCGTGGGGATGCACAGGGCTCAGGCAGCAGCTGGAAGCCTGGCCTAGGTCTCCATACTGGGGCCAGGGCTGGACAGGGTGAGCTCCCCTTCCTGCCCCCTAAAACTAGAAAGAAAGCAGAGGTCGCCTTGGCTTCGTGCTGCTGGATGAAGGGAGTTGCAAACTGCTGCTAGAGAAACCTCCCAAAGTGGCATGCTGGACTTGATGTTTATGCCAAAGGTCACTTTTTAACAGGGAGTAATAAATATTGCGAAACTATTAATGTAGAATAACACATAAATACATTTTTGTGGGGCCATGAGGATACACCTTTGGCTTTTTAATTAACACGGCTTTTGCCAGCGCAGACACCAGGCCACCTCCCATGTTTCCTATGGCCAGCAGTGGGCAGGAGCCATAGGCAGGGAGCAGCGGCCGCAGCCCACGGGCTTTTCCTCATCCCCCTGTTAGCTCTGGGGGGAAACCCAACAGGGAGAAAGGAGCTGCTTGCGTGCTTGCAGCCCAAACACACTGGGAAAAAAACATTTTTATTACTGGGAAGGCAGAGAATGCCAAAAGCGCTAAGCCTCCCTTTGCCCAAATCTATTACCTTTGAGGGCTTTTTTTTTTTTTTTTTTTTTAAGCGGGGGGGAAAGGAAAGGGGGGGGGCAAAAATGCTGACCTTAATTAATGGAAGGCCCACTAGACCCGAAGGAAAAGGTTTGGCTCTCAAGGCCCGGGCCTCCCCCTGAGCCTCTCCTGGGTGTAATGAGAGAGCTCAGCTTCATTACTGGCAGCTGAGGGGAAGGGTCACTGGGGCTGGATTTGCAGGGCCCTCATTGAGGGATCACTCCATGCTGAGAGGAGCTGGCCATGCTCTTGGACACCTGGTCATTAACATTGCTAATTAGCGGCCATTAATCAGGGCCCTGGGTTTTTTGTTGTGTGTCACCGGCTCAGAGGAACCAAGTGAATAAGAAGATTGTTTCATTACCTCCACAAGAGGTGGAATGAAAGCAGTTCCCATCAGCTCAAGATGAGCTGAATTAAGGGAAAGGTTAGACAACAATTTAAGATGAGCTGCCGAGGGGGAGCTGGGGGACCTGAGCTGTCCTCTGAGAGGAAAATCAGTCACCTATAATTAATGAAATCTTCCACAACCTAACTTTAATCACCGTGTGAGCTTCTCACCAAAAAACTTATCTTTTGCATCTGAAGGATGCTAATTTATCTGCTTACGAAGTTCCAATCTTGGCAAGTTTTATTTTGATGGGATTTTAATAACATATATATATATATGTAAAGGCAGGTGGGTGTATGTATAAGTGTGTACTCATACAGTGTGAGTTTGGCTGTGTGTTTGTTCTATATATTTACCTGAGTTAGCAAGGGTGCATTTTACACAACTAGCCACGGGGAAGGGGGAAAATAAATCTATTTTTAAAAGCATCTATTTATAAAGATTTTTTTCAGAGTTGTATATAACAGTATATCTATATATTTGTACTTTCTATGCTATGGGTTTGAAAGAAGAGAAGAAATCCAGTGTTTTTCAGAGGCAGAATAATTAAACGCAAGTTCTGTTTTGGTGGGTTAAAAGTGACATGGGAAAAATGATAGTTATTGGTGTGCATAGGAAAAAGTAAAGAATTTAATTAGCAACCAGATTGTTAAAATGCAGCATTCTCCTCCCGTACTCTATTGTCTAACTTTTGTGGAACAGGTGCCTAATTTTCCTAATGGGATACATTTTAATTGACAAAGTAGTTTGATTGCTTTACACCAGTTTTCAGTTTCTTGCTTACTTTTAATATAATAAACTCTTTATTTCTACAAACTCAGATGCCCTCAAGAAAGTAATTAGAAGCAGGTTTTATCTGCCTGTCTTTTTTTATAAACCACTTTTTGATTTCTAAAACCAACTAACCAAAAGCTTGATTTGTTCTGCTGATGTGTGAGAGCCAGTAACTTTTAGTCATATGCACTGAGCATTTCAATCAAGTTGTTTGCATATCCATTCATGTCAGCAAGACTCTCAAAATGGATTACAAACATTTAATTGTAAGAGGAATAAAATAATTAAGGAAGGACAAGTGGAAGTTAAAAATATGCCTAAGGTTTCACAACAGTTATTGGATCATTCTCATCATGAGGCATAAATTCCTCCTTGTAGTTTCAAAGGACTTTATTCATCTCAGGCACATTGCTTTTTGTAACAACAGAAAGTAAAACCTTGTTTCTTATGTATGTGATTCTCTTTGTAGAGTTGGGAGGTTGGTTAAAAATGTCCATAAAACTAATCTTTGGAGCGTTTTAGCTGGTCTGGAATTCTATAATATGATTTCTGGGACTTCATGGGAAAGTTGAAGGCTCAAGGGGAAATTACACAATGAACAGCTGAGAAAAAGTTGCATTCTGGCACAGAATCATGCAAATGGGGCACATTCTTCAGTTTTCTCATGACGGATTGTCTCTGAAACTACTGAGCCAAGTTGCTGAAATGCTAATGAAGGAGAAGCATCAATGAGCAGTGTCATCCTGGGGGCTTCTGAAGGGGACAGAGTAGGAGACGGACGGAGGGGGCGAGGGGGAGGGAAGGAAGGAAGGAAGAGAGAAAGAATGAAAAGAAACCGGGCAGGAGGAGTTTCAAATATTGGGGCTAGCCCACTCTTAAAATTAAATGGAGGGGAAAAAAGAGCTGTGATGAACTCTGATGAACAAGTTCCTCCTGGCTTATAAAAATGAATAGAAGCACTTACAAGGCAATGAGTATGATTTGTGGGGGGAAGCAAGCATGGGTAGTGCTGGAGTTGGGGGCTACCCTTCTCTTTAATGCTAGGTGAGATTGGTGTAACGAGATCAGGATGCCCTTGCAAAAATATGGAGGAATAGTAATAATAGGTCCTTAACTTGGCTCTGAAAATTGTTACTATTTACAACTTTCTAAAAAAGCATTTTCCTTATGACAGACTTTGAGTGCTTCTGTTTGTTAAGAAAAACAATTACTTTTCCTGCAGTAGATAGCTGAGTCTTATAACCAGATATCCCAAGGCTCAGCTATGAGTGCTCCTTGAAAATATTAGGCTTAAATGTATTACATCTTTTTATTAAAATACCCTGCCAGCTCTGTTTAATGGACTTTCAGAATTGTTCCACACTCACTTGTGCCCCAGCATTACTGGCCAAAGATCTCAGCAAGCTGGTACTATATTAATTTGAACATCTGGCTGGAGGTCGCTTCCATTCAGTGTTCCTGTAGGCGTTTTTGGGTGCTAAGCACTTTAAAATACAGCCCTCAGCACTCCAGATGCAACATGTGTTATTCAAGCTTGCAGAAGGGCTGTGAAAAGCCAGCAGCTGCTGAGGAACAAAATCCAGTCATCTGCTCTTTGTCCTCATTGCTGGTGAGAGCAGAAAATCAGTAGGTGCCGTGTGTGTGTAGACAGGGGAGGAAACCGAACTCTCCAAGTTTGGACCAGTGTGAGGTAGGGCTGTGCAGTGGACATGTCATGTGGCAATTGAAAGACCTTGGTCTTGGTCTCATCTATAACCTCCAGCAAGTCCCTTCACCTGTTTTGTCCCAATTTTTGCCTCAATGGCTCTATTTAAATTCCTTGAAATGAAGATGACTCTCTCTTCCTATGGATTTTCATGCTGTCTGCCAGGATATCCCAGTTTTACTTGGAGCTTTCTGATGCAATTCTGGTACAAGCAGTGGTAAAAAAGCAGTATAGCACTATTACACAAAATCTGAAATATTTCAGAACAGTTTGGGAATGGCTGTGCTGTGTTGGGCACATGGCACTTGGTGTGTTACTGTTGTACACAATTGTGCTTTGGTGGATTGCTTTAATGTTGATTTCAAACCTCAGCAATACTTACAGTCTTAATTTCATTAGCAGATTTAAAATGTGGTACCTGTATTTGCATGCACAAATCACTGGGTGGTGTTTGCCTGCCCAAATACTGTTATTTTTTAGTTTATGTTATGTTTTGTAGCATCTAAGAGCACTAGACAAAGCAGGATTTGTGCAAGCATTGAATAGCACAGGTCTCCCTGGTGCTACAACTATTGTGGGAGACACAAGTGAGATGTGGGCAGATGTGGGAGCTCTCTGGCCCGCAGTCCCATGGGCAGCAGGTTTGGGGTGGTGTCACTACACCAGTGACCTACTCCCACTCTTTTTTCTTTTTTTTTTCTTTTTTTTTTGGGGGCGGTGATGGTGGAGGGGATGGAGAAGAGGAAGAGAAAGGAAGGAGGGAGAGCGTTTGTAGGCATGTAGTAATCTCCCAAGTGAAAGTCATAGCCCCGTGTGTTTTGATTTGAAATCATCATGACTAGACCACAACGAAGTGGAAAGAAGGGCCCAGCTGTGGAGGAGGCACTTAAAGCACAACCAGCACTTGAGAAAACCTCTTCGGGTATCTGGCTCTGACCCCTCAGGGTGGGGATTAAGGGAGGGGAGAAGGGACCACCTCCTCCCTCGTATAATCCACATAAGCACACAACACGTGTTGCTGCTAACCTCCAGATAAAGGGCCAACAGCAACACAGAGATGTACACATAATACATAGTCTTATTCCCAAATGTCATCATAACAACTGCATTTGGTGTTACTGCAAATGCTGCCCATGGCTGCCAGGAGTCCTGCTGCAGAATCCAGCCTCTCCATATGAAGCCCTGTTCTTTTATGAAGTGGTGTCCCAAAATAGGCCAGATCTTGTTCCCATGCCCAAGGACTTCTACACCCTCCCTGACACAGCAGGTATCTCCCAGTGGTCAGCACATCCCACCCTGCCCTCAGCCAGAGCACGCAGTGCCTCTCGCAGACCCTTGGCAGCAAGCAGGGACTGTGCCAAACTAGACATTTGCTGTTCCTTCATTGCTGGGCTTTCTAAAATATTTTCTCTACCCCTGCAGGTGATGTGGGATTTCTCACCTTCTGAAAATCCTGTTCATGCTGCTGCTTCATACCACTGGTTTCCCAAGTTGGTGCTGTAACTTCCTCATTTGCCATGGAAGGATTGCTATCTCAACTCACCTGCGTTGTTTAAAATCTGGTAAGTGCTGAGATGAAAAAATGAGTTCTTTTATATTGGAAAGTATGTATCCATTGGGAGTGGGAAGAGAGAAATGCTGTTTGTGTTTTATTGCTTTGATTTAAATAAAAAAGTTTCCTCTATAGGAGCTGGAGGTTCTTGGGTACTTAAGGTTTTACAGTGTTCTCCCCAAGCAGCACTGTAACAGTAAATGGATGAGTTATAGCAAAGTAACTAGAATGCAGGATAGGTGATTACAGCACGAAGGGACCTGGATAAAAAATGAAAAATATGCACATAAGCAAACACAAATGAACAAGAGGAACCTGAAAGCCCAACTAAGGCCACAGTCCAGGTCCAACAAGAAAGCACAAATGTTGGCACCCAAAGTTTTAATTGTCTCTGTTCAAAAAAGTTAAATAACAGTAGTTATCTCTCAGACTGAATTTTTCCAATGTCTGAGATCTCTGAAATCAGGATTTTTGCTTGAAGGTTTATCTCAAACGCTATGTTGTACACGGTGGTGTGATTACAGTGAACAAGAATTAGGAGATCCTAAAACACGCTGACAGTCCCTAGCATGCCTCATTGTGCTCCAGTGCTCTAGCTCGTATAGTACAGTCGGGAGGACCACCCACAGTTCGTAACAGCCATAGTGGAAAATTGTATGGGCTGCTCTAGCTAGGCGTAATTGGATGGGCAAAAATTTGAGTTTTCCAGCTTTTGGAGCTATTTACTTGACCTGTTTTAATTTTAGTTGAGATGGAATAATATGTTTCGCAAGGAAATATTCAGGCGTTGCCTCTTTTTAGCCTAATAAATTTCATCTTCAGGAGAGTCTCTAAGATGTTCACATTTGTAATGGCAAGGAATACAAACTCTTAAACATAATAGGTTAAATTCATGGTAGTTGTACAACTAACAATGCTTACACTGAACCAATTGAACTGCTTGAAAGTTTTATAGGAACAAATGTGGTGGGGGTTTTTCACCATATCATTTGATCTGCTCTCTCCCCCTCTGCTGGCCTGCGATTTACTTCTTCTGACATATCCTTAACACAGGTCCTGGTGTGCCACTGTCACCTTGAATTATGTTTATTTTGAAAGTTTGTGGACATCCCTGTTGTGGCCTCCCAGGGAAAAGCACTTTTGGACTGACTGCTGAGAATCGGCATTGGAGCGTGTTTACTTTGCTCCAAGTCCAACTGCTCTGTGGGCTGAAACTTGAGAGGAGGCTACCAAGTCTGTTTTAAAAACAAATGGGACTTAAGCCATGCGACTTCCTAGGCAACATACTAGAGCCTACAGAACTCAGAGCTGTTCTGTTCATTCAGGCAAGTATCCATTTATGGGACAACGTTATAATGAGGGTTTGTGCCAGCACAGTTTGTTTTGGATGGATTATTGTCCACTGAGTTCTGACAGCACCCCAACACTGCACTTGGCCTGCAAATTTCAGCTGAAAGTTTTTGCCTTACCAGTTTTGGAGTGATTGAAAAAGCCATAAAAAGGTGTGAAACTCAGTGTCCTGACATATTGGCTCTGGCCTGTGAGAAGCAGGTGTCCCCAAACTGCATCAATGCTTTGTCTCTTCCTCATTGCCAGAACGAGCCTTTGGCATCACAGATAGCATGGCACAGATTAAATCAGCCTTAAACTGTTCTCATTTACACCTCAGTCATAATTCACTTATACAGTCCAGACATAGGGTACTTCCTGACCTTTCCAGTTCATTGTCAATCTGGAGTGAGGTTCTTGAAAGACATTAAGGTTGAACACCATTTTTCTACCAGTGTTGTTACAGGAAGGTTATTGAATCTTCCAAACCACCTTTTTGCAAAGATCAGTGTAGCGATGTTTTGTTTGTTTTTCAGCATAAATAAAAGACCTCAGTAACTTATTTTGCAGAAATCACTCTGTTGTTGTAAAACAGAAAAATAATCAATTTACAAGGCAAATTGAAAACATTTCTAGAAATGGGATCAGAACCTGAATCTCCCTTCCACTCCCCTCTGCTTAGAGGCACACTGGTCTGTTTGGATCTGAGATGTGTTGCCAGCACACTCTAGAAGAAACTCATGTGGTCTTCCACACTGATGGCAATTTCTCTGAGTCAGCAGGAAATTTGCCTTGACTTCATGGCAACTGGATCAGGCTTTCTGCTACTAAATAAAGGATCCCATTTTCTAGATTTTCTGTAGTGACTTCAGCACTGCAGAATCAATCTGAGTTATTAAAAATAATAATGCCATCACACTGACTTTTATTCCTTTATATTCTGGCTTGAAAATCAAACTGAGAAAGAAGCATAAACTCATTAAGCTTTAATCTAAAACAAAAGTTTGGAGCCAAATGTTCATGTTCAGTCTTTTCATTCTGTAAACAGTGTCCCATTAGACAGAGATAACACATAAGGGGTACAGATGACAAACACCATGTTCATAGGATCTGTATTCACTCTGAACAGAAGGAATAGAAGTGTGTATTTACCAGTAATTAACATTTTAACTAGTGTTTGGTGAAATTCATAATGTGATTTAAAAATTGAGAATTCCTGGATTACAGGGAAGAGCAATTACTTAAATAAAAGCTACTGAAAAGGTGTCCAGAGGTAAATAATAATAATAATAGTAATAGTAATAATAATAATAATAAAAGACCCCCCTCCCCAGTGGGAAATGATTACACAGTAATCCATGCCACTTAGTCAAATATCAGAAAAGGGTACCATAGACCCATAATTAGCAATGTAACAAGCAGAGCCTTGAGAAAACAAGCTGGTCCTCAAGACACTAATCTTCATTGCTAGCACCCATCCAACAGGCTTCATCTCAAGGAGCGAATGAGGCAGGCAAGAAAATAAAAGGACCTATAGAGCCAGCAGGGAAGTTGCCCATGTGCTACTTTGAGTAGACTTCAAGGGGGTAAAAGGAGAAGAGGTAGGAGGGGGCAAAGCAGTTGTGTTGTCTGTCCTTCACCCCCACTTCACCCTTCTCTCTCCCCCCGCCCAAAAAAAAAATAAAAATTTAAAAGAAAGGGAAAGAATCCGACTTGCTTCTGCAGAAGCTGCCTAGCGACACACAACTAATTAATATGGCTGGTCCTCTGTTTGCAGATCTTGTTATCAGTAAAAATAATAATAAAATGAGCCCTAGCAGTCTGGATATCTGCAATTACAGTGTGAATTGCATGAGAGGATTATATGAAGTGCTCTTGGCGTGGAGGGTGGGGGACCAAGGCGCTTCAACTTGAGAGCAGTAAGCAGCTGCTTTGGGGCTTTGCACCTGCTGCTCACCAGGCTGTTTTCACCTCTAGACGAAAACAGGCTTCTCTCTCTTCCTCTGTCTCATTTCTTTTCACACAGTGCACAAACGTAAAAACAGAGAAGGATTTTTATTTATTAAAAAGAAAAAAAAAAAAAGAAAAGAAAAGAAAGCAAGAAAATCAAATTGTCTTCTTAAAGAAGTTTCACTGCAGCAAGATGAGAGGCATCTTACGACAGCGAAGGGGAATCTGAAGATGGAGTTTGGGTCCAAAGAGACAGGCAAGCCAGCTCCATTTTAATGCAGAGGCAGCAGACAGAGTGCGATCTGAGATTGGCAAAGTTTCAATGTAAATCCAGGGGGGCAAGGGGGATGGGGCTGGGATGAGAAGAAAGGACTCTTTTACTGTTTCATGCTTCTAAGTCCTGCCGATCAGCATAAGCTCAGCTCGACATTCTGGGAATAGCAATGAGGCACACACAACAATCAAAACACCCTAAATCTGTTTGATGATTCAGACACTTCGTGCATCTGCACCGACAAAATGGGACTTCAATTAAATAACTTGCAGATTTCCACAGAGGGGGGAAAAAGTCGGGGGAACATGAGGATTTTTAATTAGTAACTCCGAATACAAGCCGTTTTTTTAATTAGGTGTTTGCACTACCACTTTATTCTTAAAGGGAGATTTCTAAGCGCGTGGGATTGTTGTGAAAGAAGATCCTGGACAGTTTGTTCCTAACATTTTGTTGCAACCTGCATTTGCTCCTAAACAGCTTTTCTTCAGCAAATGAAACTCAGCTACTAATCTAACCAAGTTGTTCAAATTAAGGCCAAGATTTTTTTGAAAGCTTTAAGAGCATACACACATCCAGAAATATAAATACACACATATGTGTAGTGTCCAGGATATGTTCTAAGGCCCTGCAACAGTTTTCTTGTGCTTCTGATGGTTCAGATTACTCTTTGTGGCTAGTCTAGTTATATAGAAAAAAATGTACTGGGGACCATTATATATATAACTGTACCATTTAAAGAGAGATGCTAGAAGTTTGTTACAAAGCTGAATGAAATTCCCATTTGACTTTACTGCTCTGCAGTCACCACTTCTAGTAAGAGCAAACCACTAATGATTGCAAGCTTCAGAGTCTGAAAAACGATGGGTGAAATCCCGGACCCTTTGAAGTCATTGAGTGCTTTTCATTGACTACTGGGGTCAGGATTCATGCTCAAAATCTCCCGAGTGTGTTCTGGCATGGCGCAGTGATGTACACATCTCTGACACACACACATGCACTGTGAATTTGCAAAATATCTCCCTGAAAAGACATGCTTTCTGTGGCAGGCCATGATTTTGAAGCATCAGAGAAGAGATCAAGCCATTTGGTAGTCTAGCCACCTTGTGACACTAGATTGAGAATACTTCTCTGTTATTTTTTAAAATATGCCCAAAGCAGAAGCAGTGGCAATACCATTTTTATATCCTTATCCACTGGGCCGTGGACAATTTTTGCTATGACAAAACATTTACAATGGTATGGAAGAGATTAAAAGTTGGATTTCTTTCCTCTCCCTTCTTTTTCCTAGCAGGGGTACAGCAAGTAGATCGTATAAAGAGGGACCATGATCATTTATCCAAATGCAAACAAATCTAAGCATGAGGATTTACCACAGACTGACTTTCTTTTTTTAAAAATTTATTTCATGTGTTAATACAAAGACTGTTTAGCAAAAGTAGAATGCCAGGATTTGCATA